GATAGCATCAACTTGTTCGTCTTTTTCATGCTCGCGAATTATAAAAGATGTGTATTGCACGAGATTTGATGCAGTGGATCTCTTCTGCATAAATCCATGTTGTTCGGAGGCAACGTAACTGGAGCAAGTGTGTTTAAAATAATCCAAAACTATTGGCTCAAAAAGTTTTGAAACTGCGCACAAAGCCGGAATGCCTTGATCGTTGATTACTGACTGTTTATCGCCTTTCTGGAAGACTGGAAAAACAAAAGCATTCTTCCAGCCATCAGGGAAGATTCCAGAATTCAACGAGAGGTTGAATATGAATGCTAGTGGTGCGCTCAAGGCTCCTATACAGTTTTGAATCACCACAGATGGAATTCCATCCGGGCCAATACTGGAAGAATTTTTTAAGCGAAGGCCTGCTGTTTGAACGTCATCTCTCGATAAAGGTGGATGAGATTCAACAACTGAACGTATGGGAGCCTCACTTGCTGCATCTGAAACGTATTCGTCAGAGAGCTCCTCGTTGACGAAAACACTGCAGAAATGTGACTTGAATAGATCCGCGATACCATCCACATTAGACATTTCTCGATCCCCGTTGAACATCGTGGAGGGCAGACCCGATTCCTTTCGTTGATCTTTCACCTGATTCCCGAAGCTTTTAGGATTAGTATTGAGCTTATTTTGTAGTTGACGCTAGTGTTCTAGGTAGAGTTGCTCGTTGAGCTGCTTGTACTGCTGGTTAATGCGTACCTATGTATTTCTTTCTCGACACGTCAGTTCGCAGATTGCAAAACTGTTTCATGATTAGATGATTTAAGACGTTTCAAACGAGGGTTTGACCATGGAGAGTGAGTTTTCTTCGGTACGAACTGATCGATTGCATAAACAACAATATTCGTAAAAATAGTCGAGGAAATATTTACGTCATGATCACGCAGTTCTTCATCCCAGTTTATGCTCTCGAAAATGGCAGTCATTCCATCGAAGTCAGCCTTCCAGTAGTCATATGAAATGCTATCCATAGTGTTGCGAAAAGAAAATGCCTGGTTCAATTTCAATGTTATCTCAAGAGGTAGATGATGCTTACAACACTCTTAACTAGTGGCACAGGCGCTTCATAAATCGAGAAACTAGAAGCAACTTCATGGCTAAGAAAACATAAATCAAGCAATCTATCATTCTCATTAGACACACTATTTAGTTGCAGGAGATCAGCAGTATTGTAGCTGTCCAGAAGAGCTACTGCCAAGGGTGCAATGTTTGAGCAACTGGATCAGAGCTGGTAAATATCACGGCTGTCATGTGACGATGAGAAAACAGGTCCTTTCACTATCGCGAGACGAAGCGACCGATCATTAGCATTCTTGTCATTTTTCAATGATCAAGCACTCATGAGAATAATTCTTATGCAGTTTTGACATCAGCATTTCTAACTGATTTAGATGAATTTAAGTAAACAACCGTATGTAATCGGTAGAGTGAACATATTATTAAGATTTCCTCTGTACATGTAACTTTAATAGCATTAAATGGCCTAGTAATTACGATGACCACAACACTGTCACGTTCTGTCATGACGAAAAATTCGATGAAATTTTGAAGAAAATCTCTATCATCGTTTTCTCATCCAATGATAGTGACAGCAGTATCTCTGTAAATATCGCGTGAGATCTTTCATTGAAAATGACTTTTTCCAGCCCTGAACTGGATTGAGGATGGAGGAACCCGGCGTCATTCCAGGACCATTTGATAGACGATAGATTGAAATCACCAATTACGAGGATGTCGTCATTTGGATTCATCTTGGATATGATCCAAAAGAGAGAGTTTAAGTGTTGATCAATCAACTCGGAATCTCCAAGGTGGGCCGGGGGCAGATACAGCATACAGACGAAAACTACTTTCGATTGTAGAGAGATGGACACTAGAGTGATGCAAAATTTGAAATTTTTGCTCCAAAATACTTAAAGGATTCCAAATCGGATCCTGACTAACCTCTCAAAATTTGAACCCATTTGGTGAGAAACTGAGATGGCACAAACCATTTAAAGTTTGTATGGGAATTACAATGGTAAAACCAAGATTTTTGTTCATGTCTATCTAATATTTCACCATATCGGTCTGCTTCAAAAGCTTTCAATTGTACTTGTAGGAAATTTTCCCAGCTACAACTTTGCTGAAGACCACTTTTTGAAAGTTATCAATGGTTCAAGGCGCTGATGTCTTATGATCATGCTCAATCAACTGCTTAGCAGGCAACATTGGTGTTTCTGGGGCGTTGAATAGGACACAACAATCATGGCTACTATGACATACTGCAAAATACAGTGTTGCCTACAGAGCAGCTGCTTGATCATGTCATAAGTTTACCAATCTCTTAAATAATTAATAACTTTTTCCTGTCTCGTTTTACATAGCAACGATCTTAGGCAAAGTTGTAGCTGAGAAAATTTTCAATATGGAAAAAGACTAGAAGGCAATGAACAAAAAGTTGAGATTTCCCATAGTAATTTACATGTAAACTTTAAATGGCTTGTGCGAAGTCTGTTTCTAACCAAATGAGTTGTAACTTTGGGAGGCTAATCGGGACCCGATTTGAAACCATTTAAGCACTGTGGAGCGAAAAAGTCAAATTTTACATCAGTCTAATGGATACCCACAGTTGTTCGACACCAGTACACCTAGATGGATGGAGTTGCCGAGATTGAAAGACTGATTGAACAGTTCAGTTTTAGATGCATTTCCTCAGTTATTAATTGAGAGCTTTCCATGCCAACATCAACGCATGATTTTGTATATTGTGTGGCAAGTACAATAATATTCTATGCCCTGGGAAATCGAGAAAATTTCCTACCCGATTTTTTTGACCGGACCGGAAATCGATCCCACCACCTCCGGCTTGGTAATACCGTACACACTTAGCAATGATTACTGACTTCAGTACTTTTTACCGAACATTCAACAGCTGAGCTTCTTAGACTTTTCGGCTGGTTTTGAAATATTGATAATTTTGCAATTATTTAAATTTGTGGTGAGCGAAAAAGTTATAAAAAAATAACATGTGTTGCCACGGATTACTATTTTACGATATGTTGAATCGGTTTGACCCAAAAAATCAAAATAAAATTGTATACAAAAGATCGAAAATCTGCCAAAATTGAATGTGCTAAGATTCTTGTCAACATTAAAGCGTTCAATTTAAAAATGTAATATGAGTTTGTTTTTTTTTTGGGAAGATTGAAAATTAAAAATGATGAAAATATTGAAATGGAATAAGCCTATCGAATTTGCCATTTTGAATAATATTCACCGAATTTAGCATAAATGTGTATGATAATCCATAACAAACAATTATGCAATTGTCCATGCAAATCGAAGAAAGTCGAGTCTATTAGATTTGTCATTTGGCGTGGAACTGCTCAGTTGCAAACATAATTTTAATATCTGAAATGGCTTAAATCTGGCTAGAATGGCTTAGAAAACGCAAAAATCAACTAGAATAGGGGGCGAACCCGGCGTAGTGTTTAGCATCCATACCTCTAACGCCAAAGTCACGAGTTCAAATCTCACAAGTCGCGAATGAGCCAAGAGCGTTAAAGTGACTATAATAATACAAAAAAGAAGTAGAATATCCAAAATGACTGATAACAATGATGAAACTATATTGATTGATTGATTGATTTATCTTTATTAAGAAGGCTTTCAGCTTGAGGCTGGTTCGCCTCCAATGAAACTATATAATGCAAGAGAGAAGGACTAGAAACTTCCATTTGATTCGACTTTTGATGCTTATCCTTGACATATACACGTATTCCAGCTACAATGTGCAAACTAGAGTTGATTCAATTTTATCAAAAGTGGATTTACTTAAACGTTATTTGAATTGTCCGGGTTTTTTTTTCCAGGAAAATCTTCTCGAATATAAGGAAAATCCATTGAAATTTTACTCAGTCTAGGAGTATACTAATGACTGAGTGAAACCTCTATCGATTTTCCTTATATTCGAGATGTTTTTTATGGAAAAGCCCGGAAAAGTCAACTCACTTTTGAGTAAATCCACTTTTGACGAAGTTGAGTCGACTCCACTCAATCAATTTTGAGTCGGTCTAATCGCCCGTCTAACAACAGCTTCTCAAATTAACGATAATTATGAATAATCTAAGAAGCAACAATATATTAAATTTTGATAGCATTTGGACAGCTAGAGTCGAAGCAATTTTCGTAAATTTGAATCTGGTTTCGACGAACCGCACGGTTCTTTGTTTTAACTTTGCTGATAACCACCGATAATCATTCACTTCTTATATGAGCTGTCCACTAACGAGCTATTTTTGCGAAAAGTCCTACTCATCAGCCGTCACCAGAGAGCAGACATCAATCAGTTTTTGTCAGCGTTCAATTAATTGATGATAATCATCAGATTTTCCAACAAAGGACGCTTTCTGATTCTGGCTATTATGACCGGTTGATTGCCTTGCAGTATCCCGGAAGCGGCAATGAGCGGTCGCACTAATGCGTTCCGAATTCGAAGTGCTACGCATACCGGCATTGTTCCCCAGAATGGTGATCGACATTCTAGACACCCAAAGCGCGAGCATCATGATGACAACGGCGTCTAAAATCATTAACAACACCACACCGCTTACCGACAATACTATCGCGACCGCGGTTGTGCTGCGGAAAAGTTTTTCTGCCTGCCTTTGCAATTTACTCGTTCTTTCAACGGACGGCAATTTCGGCTTATTCTGGCGAAATTTAAATACGATGTCATTCTGAAGGCACACACTTTTCGATGATATGCTGCTGGTGGTGGTGACGCTGTTAGCAATTAATTATTCACGTTCCAAATTGCTTGACGGCAGAAAAATAAGCTGTTTTATCGAAAATGCTGATCCGATTTTCTATAGAAACGTACCGTCAGCAATCATGAGTACCGTCGACAGTCAAATGCACTCAATTAAAATTTATAAATCAAACACAGCGACTCGAGGGGAGAGAGTTGAATCACCTACCTTCACTTCCAACTGGGGACCGTTTTCCATTGCGTGCATAATGGCATTGGACAGCTTGCCATCCAGACCTTTGATTTCGGCTTCGATTCCGTCGACTGAACGGACCGCATTGATCAGAGGAAGGATGGCCTCGGTGAATGTGTACCAATCCTGATTCAGGATTCCAATGTACTGCATCAGGCAACCCCTGGATTTAAATAGATTAAATGGCGTCATTAACAGTAAAGTAACATGAATTTGAGCGTCGCATGAACTTACCTCATGACATTTTTGCACATCCCTGCGCATGGCTTTGCATGGTTGTGACTATACCTCTTACAGCTAGCACAATAGTTCATTTTCAGTAGTGCTGCCTTGCAGGATCCCTGCAAATTTTCCGTACCCAGTTCGTCCAGTTTGTTGAGTACCTCGGCTCCTTCCCGGAGCACTCGCAGCAGAACGCTGGCAGCACTGACACTGCCCACCAGTGAGTTGGAAAGCAGCTGAGGGATATCCCCGAACGGTTTCAGATCATCGTACGTGTGAATGAGACAGTTTTTGTAATCACTGTGGAAATCAACATCCTTTTCGGCATGGACCACCGCATGGTGATATGCCACCGGGAATAGATGCCGGAAGAATTTATCTGTGACTAGATCCAGATCGTCGGTAAAGGACGTCGAAGTGAGATGATTCCGGATGGTTCCGTACAGTTCCAGAATCGGGTCCCGGGACAGTGGGGACATCTTTCGGTACACGGTTGAGAACAGATTCAGCGTTTTGTTCTCGGACTGGCGTGACAGTTGCAACAGATAATCTGTAAATAGAAATCAAGGGAAGGGCAGCGAATTAGTTGAGATTCCACCGGTTGGATAGTGTTACATGCATAAATGTATGGATACCAAATTTCTCACGACGCGCGTGAGGTTCTGCATGCCATGCAGGGTACCTATGCGTTGTTTTTTATGAATAAAGTAATAAGCCTAACAAGTAATTCAATACCCGAAAGCGCGGAACCAACCGGGAGCCAGGAGTTTGCAGAGTTGATCAGTGGCGTCATATGGACGCTAAAGCAGTGGGGGCGTGATGGTTTTTGAAATATTTCATGCACTTAAAATCTTTTGTAAATTTACCGATTAATCATTAATGTTAATAAATAGAATCACTACAGGTGCTTGATAATTGCCTTTTGGAATGTCTGACTAGCTTCAATAGTGGAGACCAGTGAGCTTGTTACATGTGTTTTAAAGCATAATGGATTTTGATTCAACAAAATATGTCTGCATAATCCATTTTGATCGAAATCGGGAGTAAAAGTGAATCTGCCTTCTTTTTTCGTTAGGTTTTTATCCGATTATACCAAATAATTTTAACCAGTTCCGTCATTAACATTTTAAGGATAGGGATGCCGTAGTATAGTATATCGGTCTATAAAACGCTTTCTTCGAAAATATGGCCAAACGAGGCATGTATGAGTATGGCTACACTACGAATTTTTAATAAAGCTAAATTCATTCACTACACTCACTCTACATGTTTTCCATGAGACCTAGTCAGTAGAAGCTTAAGAAGAAGAAGATTAGGTTTCCGGAACGGGCGAGGATATTTGTGGTAAATTCTCTCCACTTCCGGTAATTTTTTTTTTCATTTCATAAATATTGCCAGCTCGACTGGAAAATCACGCGTTGGTACGCTTAGGTGGTTTAGAAAGTGTAGGTAATTCGAATAACAATGCCCTCGTTACTTCGATTTAATGATATTAGATGGAATGGATCTAAGCAGGATCCTGTCCCCTCTTAAACCGGCGCTTTTGTCCATCGCTCACGGTTGGAAACAACGCACAGCCCAGACAGCACCGAGGGATCGACTAAACAAAAGCAGAGTCGAAAGAATAAATCTCAAATTCATCTTTCGAAATCTTTTTAACGAAGCCATAAGAGAGTGCGAGGAGTTGCATTTAAATTTACGTGCCTTGCCCGGGTCGTCGTCGTCGATCGGCGCATGTTGGGAATCTCCGTACAACGACCGGAGGTAAAGCAAAGAAGCATTCTTCTTGTTTTGTGCTTTCCGTTGCCGGACTGCGTCTGCATGTTTGGTCTTGAGCAATCGTTTTTATGCAGCCTTATTGAAGCCTTTTCTTCGAATCGTTTGTTTCATAAACGGCCGGTCTCGGTTATGGCATTCTTCCGCGATGACGTCACGTGCGAGAACCAGTTGGAAAAGATGACTACAAGAAGACGCGAAAAAGGTACACTCACCGGGTTGATTCATGAAACTTGTGTGCGTCCTCAGGAAGATTATTACGAGGAAGCGGAATTCTTTGTATCAGCAGCCAGCATGGGTAAATTTTACACTTCTCACAATCACAAGAAATACTCAGTGGAAAAGTTTTTCAATTACGCGATATACCCCTTTCTCACCTCGACCTACCCCTGTCCAGGTTTTCCAATCTTGATGTCGATGAATAATAATAATTAAAAGTTTACTCATTGCCAGGCAGGATGGATAACAGGCATCATCAAATTATCTGCCCGAAATCGTTCAAACAAAAAGGGAATTTCCGAGCCGGGTTTTTACTGATTCGGTTCACGTTTGCGAAGGCACGCGTTCATTCCTGTGGAGGTCCCACAATATCAACTCCCTGAATTGGAATAAAATTGCTTGCTTGCTGCTGTTCTAGTGTGTGTACATAGTCAAAGGACCAGAAACCAATAGCCACCACGTTCGCGGGCTGTCTGCTGGACACACATTCCAACGGGTCCAGTCGATCCAACCGAGTAGACGCAGCTCAGCAAAATTTTATCTCTCTGCACTTTGGCCCAGGTATTGTGCTCACATGTGAACTTATACTTTGTACTTTGTCACGGAACTGCTAGGGGTGAATTTTGTTGTTGATTCAATTCATGCAGTGCAAAACAACGAACGGATGGACCGTGCATTGTTTATTCCTACCACGTGTCGCTGTTCTCAGAGTATGCGGACTTAGTTTTCGTTGTTTGTGAGCGAATATTGCTGTGGGTTGTGGCAGACCGTGTTCGCAGTGGAGATAAGTTTTACAACTTGCTTCCTTCTTGCTCCGACTAAATCGTGGTTATGTGCATGCAGGCAGAGCAAGAAGTATGACGACGATGAGGAACGTTGAGAAATGCTGCTTCCTGGCAGATCTCCTCCATTGACCTGTTTTATTGTCCGGTAAATTCTCGGAAGACCCCACGTGATAACACACTTCACGGCATGCGGGCTGCGATGCAGGATTGGACTTTGTGTTGGTACCATGAAATTCATTGCATTCACAAACTACATCCTTATCGTATAATGGCTTCTTACGTGGAGCACATTTATTACGATTATCAGGTTGAATTTTAAACTCACTGGCAACTCTCGCAGGCCAATAAAAGTTAAAATAAGTTTTTTTTTATTGCATGCACACATTCATTGATTTGTTTCCGTCGATCTTGTTTTCCGTGCTCAACACCAATGCTACTGACGCATGGGAGGCAGTTCTCACACCTGGGCCCTACCTTTCGACCCATCAACTCATGAACCGAGAACCAACGGCTTTACTTTCCAGCGGCGCCAAATGGGATTGAACTCAGGCCAGCGGGGTGAGAGATAATCACGCTTACCACTACACCACCGGCGCCCCTAATGCATAAAATGTAAGCATGGTTTCATTACATCCTTTTGTATATGTTTCTTGTGAGGAAAATGGTGGAAGTGTACTATAGCTATACAATTGCCAATTAGATCGTTAGGATCAATATCGAACATTTATGGAATATAACTTCGATCCTAATATTCCTGTGCAAACCAATGCTAATTAATCAATGATCTTGAATCTCTGACTATATCTATGGTCAAAACAAGAGCTGCCTCAGTACGGAGATGTGAGGTGAAATTCAATTCTATTACAATAGAAGATGATCTTCAACTCTAGATCCGTATTAAGGTGAAGCTGCAGCCTCGAAAGAAAAATATTGATTTTTCTAAAAATATAAAAAATAAGTTATCTTTGCAAAAATTGGACTCAAAAAATCACAAAAATCCAACTTCCACGTCCTACTTTTTTTTCATGATGAGCTTAAACTTGAGCTTTGGTTGTCCGTACATTTCAGTAGTTGATACTCCGTGATGGACAAGATCCAGCAAAATTGCATTTTGATCCATACGAATAGAGCCTGGCATAAGCTAACCATTCTTTATGTACACGATTCGAAGTTTCATCACTTTATATGGTGGTCAATAATGGCGCCGGCTACGTCGTTACGGTCATCGGGTAAAGTATTGAAAGTTCAGCATGCGTTGTTACTAGAGACCAAATACACCACTGCATCTCCACAGTTGTCACATGATGGATTTTTTGTTAGTACGGAGGGTAAATGAGATCTGGATTCACTTTGGAAAGTGATGCAATCTTTTAAAGTCTGATAAGAAAATTATGGCACCCTACAAACTCAATTGTGTAAGGAGCATGGGAATAAACCCATGATTTTCTGCTTAATAATCAAGCATCATTAGGCCACAGAGTCTACTTCTAACTCTTAAGGGGTTACGCCACCCTAGGATTTTCAAAAAATCGATTTTTTTTTTAAATAAAAAGGTACTCTGAAGTGTCAAGAATAAGGGACAATTGGTTCCATGTCGAACAAATTAAAATTCCGAAAGTTATAAGCGAAATTACAAAACTTTGCATCACGCACCTGAACGGTTCGGGCCGCCAGGCGGCGAAATGTACAGTTACCTATCGGACGATAAAAAAGAAAACTTCTCGATCGACTATCGGTATTAGTGAAATAGTTTGTGTACCGGTTAGAGCGCGTACAGATGGCTCTGCATCATATCAGTCTCTTCTGTGCGTTGAAACAATGGGTGACAACGGTATTGTTTACAAGGGAAAAAAGGCACCAACAGAAAAACGTTTGAGTCTTCTGGGCGGCGAAGCATCAAACAACGACGACCTATCAATCGTTTTGCTGCGGAATCCAATTCTGAGTCTGTTAGTGCGTCGGCAAAAAAAAACTCAAGTCCAAAAGCTGTGACGATGTCAACATCAACGAATCTTTCGGCTACCGCTTCCTGAACTTTGTAGCAGTTTTTTCCACCATTTCCCAATACGTCTCATGCAAACAATGTGGATCAGATGTGAACTAACTATATTTTACGGCGGTGCACTGTTTTCGAGGCTATCAAACCTGTGTTCACCGAATTGAGCAGCGACGATTTACTCGGCCGGTGTTTAGGAGGATATACCCAGAACTCCAACGAGAGTTTTAATGCAACCGTGTGGGCCCTTGCTCCGAAGTCCCGCTCCAGCAACAAGACGGTCCTGGAGATTTGCACTGATCTGGCTGTAGCAAATTTCAACGATGGCTTTTCCACTGTGATGGACGTTATGGCAGTACTTGGACTCGAAATAGGCCGCAAATGTTACAACTTTTGCGTTGAGAGTGACGCAAAACGAATCACGCAAGCTGAGCAGTCTCTGACGGAAGGTGCTAGATTGGCTCGCCTCTCGCTCAAATCGTCGAGAAAAGCCGAAGGCGATGAGAATCACAACGTGGAAGGCATGCTCTATGGTGCTGGGATTACGGATTAAAGGTTTGTTATCTTCAACTATATATATTCCCTTACTTTTGCCAAAAATCTGTACCTCAAACTCGCGTTTTTTTTTCGATACAACATTTCTCTCCGCGGCCCACACGATAGCATCTGCAATTTTGACTCAATTTGATCTAGACTTTGACGATTGCATTCTCTGATTAATTATCTAGAGAAGTACATACGAACTTTTCAATTGATCAAAAAATGCAATTGTGG